TGAGAAAATCTTATTACATATTTAGTGGAAGATTAAAAAAAAATAAAAACATATATTAGAAAACTAATGTTCTTGAATATAGAATGTTGAACAAAACCCCTGAGATGACTTTTACAGAGTTCTGCAACGTTTTTAAGCAATAAAACAATCGCGTCAGACATAAATATCCAGGGTTTACAGGATATACGTAAAAAAAAAAACGTTTACAGGATTATGGTTAAAATCAAATAAAAATGCGTCAGATCGGTTCGGTTTAAAGATGTCAAAAAATGGATTAGGGTTAATAGAGACATTTGTACCAATCGTCGACGAATCGGTCGTGATAATCTATGTAAGAATTTTTAACCGTTGACGTGACAGCGACGTATAGTGTGAATCCGGCTTAAATTCAACGAGATTTTGATATTTCGAATTTTTCGGAGAAAGATTGTTAATTGCGATTCAAAAACGGAATAATCTCACAATTTACGAAGAATTAAGTCTACGATTGCTTTAATGATATGCAACGGAACTCGTGGTCGCGTAGCCTTGACTGTAATTGCAGATAAGCAGGTGATTCATGTAATCGTGTGACTGGCCGCCTACGAGAAGCGTTAGGCGCGCGCTTGTTAGATTTCCGACTCGTTGATTCTCTCTCCCTCGTGTCAACCTCAACGTGTGTTGTTGCAAAAGTTACCCCGTGTCGGCGTAACATAAATAATTCTCTTACAATCAGAAAGACCGGATTTCATGCAGAAATCCGGTTCTTACGGTAATCGAATCGAACCGATGACGGGGAGTAGGTAAACCGCGCAACGAGTTTTGCGCGCGCACAGGTGCATCGATTACGCGCGCCCGCTTGGAAATAAATAATTTATGGAAGTTACTCCCGATGAAAGCGAGTTATGCGATACTTGTGTGAGTCGCTCGTATTTCTACTTTCGCCAACTCGACCCATATAATTCACATCGGGGGCAACAACTGCCTCGGCCGCAACGTTCCGAGAAAAGTACACTTTCGAAGAATTGCTGCTTTTCTCGTATCGTGATTTACTCGTCGATTTGCGACAAGCGAGCGCGCGTAACATCACACACCTCTGAATTACAACAACTTGTTTTATTGCGGTTAACGCTGTTATTTAACACTTGAAGTTAATCTTCACTGTTAAAATCGTCCGGAATTATAAACGTCTCTATAATTCAACAACGAGTCTGACCGACGATAAAAACAAAGTCGGAGTAACAGCTGGTCCATCCGTATCATCTCGTCGTTAAGCCCGACGCACCCCTCTGAAACCGCGATGGACGATAGCTTGCTTCTGTACGGCCGGGCACGCACATGCGAAGCCCGCAGGTGCGCGCGCGCATACATACACACAGATAACGACGTTCTTGGGCGCGTATCGCGACGTAGATTTATCTGGCGAAAACCGGTGACGTTGTTTCCTTAGCCCAGCTCCTCCCTTTTGATAATCACGAGAGTCCTTTACTCTGTGTGTATGTGTGTGTGTGTATGTGAAGCGTCTCACATTAAAAATAAAATTCCGTTCCGCGTAAAACTTTTTATAAAGTAAAGAACTTTTAATCTACTTTTTAAAATAAAAGCGACAAATTAGAGAGAAAGAGAGAGAGAGAGAGAGAGAGAGTGAGAGAGAGAGAAAGAGAGAGAGAGAAAGAAAGAAAGATTTACGGATAGCATATCCTCTATGGATTATTTATTCAGACGTCGCTCTAAAGATTCATGTACACATACTCAAGGTGTTTGCAGTCGGTAGGTAATCGAAGTCATGCGATACGCCACAATTTCCTTCAGGAAGAGCAGGTAGATTACGTGGTGTATGAGTCGAGCAACCGGTTGAAGTGGAATTGTCTAACTGTATAAGATACAAAGTTGATACATCCGGTCAAGTGTGCGTTAGCCTCTGAAAACGCATCTGTCATTTCTTGAGACATATTAATAGCCATCAACTTTTTTAATCTCAACCGTGTATAGATACTACTGACGAGATTCCGCTAACGAGCTTTAATGCATATGTTGGGTTACGATGAGAGAAATTTTTCTACGTCGTTACGTTATTTTACTTAAGACTCTTATGTAACTACCGTTTAAAATGGCGTTTTTGGCACGCCAAAGGCGTTGGCACTAAAACTGTAATCGTAGACTCCATTGGCCATTTATGTCAGATTCTTTCAACTCAACGAGCCATGTAAATATATAACTGTAAACTTTTAACGAGGTGATTACGGCAAGAGTTGTCAGAAAAAGTAGCGCGTATTTCCAAATGAAAATAGTAGCCGTGCTACAGAATTAAATACTGCTATCGACGAATTAAACAATCGACAGGTAAAGGAATCCTAAAGTAGATCTGTTTTATCAATAAAAATGAATTGTTTGTGCACACTAATCTCTTTTTTGGCTGTATGGATTGACAAATTCTTTTCTACAATTAAAGCACATACAGTAAGAAATCCGGGAAGTCCAAATTTATATGACAAAATGACAAAAAAAAAGAAATGTTTTAAAAATTAAAAAATAAATTTTTTTTCATTTTGTTACACAAATTTAGACCTCCCGGATCCGTTATTGTATATACTTTAATTGTAGAAAAGGATTCATCAATCCATAAAGTCAAAAAAACTTATAGCGATTTCGGCTGGTCTGCACCGGTGTGCCACCTGTGTAGAGTTGGTGCAATTGTGTGCAACACCGCATCGGTGTGTGTACTGATTACACTAACTGGGTCCGACTAATTTGTGAGAGCCACTTTGTGTACATCCAATATGCACCTATGCAGTGTACTGAGCTCAGACGAATACGCGGATCCAGCAAAGAACTGCTGCCATTCGACCAGCCAAACACACAATTTGCACCGACACCCGAAATGTGCAATCGGTGCAAACCAGCCGAAATCGCTATTAGTGTGCACAAAAAATTCAGTTTTATCGATAAAACAGATCCACTTTAGGATCTTTTTAATCGAGAAATATATCAATCTGTGGATATATACATACAATCCCGTACGCAATTTCGCGAGCATGTAGTGTCGTTATTCGCATTCGAAAAATTAATTTATTCATATGTATGGAATAAATTATCGTTTGCATTGCTAAAATAATTGTCGCAAAACGCACTCGCCGCTATATTCAATAATTTAATGACCGTAATTTACCGACAGCTGTATATTCCGAGAGAGAGCGGTGCCTAAGCAAAATCGTATCTCGCCCGTGCCTTGTGGTTGTGGCGATATAAATGTTCGCGAACGGGCGAGTCTTGATCGCGACGCGTATAAGCAGGCAGGTCAAGTTAGCCAGTGAAAATTGCTTCGGCGCGATCCGAAGGTAGTCATCACAGCCCGTCCCGCGCGCACGCATAGACAACTCTGAGAGCAGTATGCCGCATTACCATACACAGAATGCCCCGATGTAAGTATATCTTTACGAATAATGTCTCAATCCAACAACGTTATTCGCCGCGAAGGTCTATTGTTTCGTTTGTGCGAGTGCGCGCGGGAAGAGTTCGGTCTTTCGTTAATACTAATGAATAATTTATTATACTTGAATACTGAATTGAATAAAAAAAAAAAACAAGCACTCTATATGATATTCACGTATTTATTTATTACAAATTTATTGGTGTACATCTGAATTAAAAAAGACTTTAGAAAATAAAAAAAAAAACTACTGATGATACTATCGATTTTCTCAATGATCGGCCAAAAGCGATAATCGCGCCGGATTTCGACCGTTGGAATGACGTTGTTTCACGCGGGTAACGATCCTCGAGATCTCATTTACAGTACAAATTAGTTGTAGGCCGGTCCCCCGTTCTTAATGACCAGTCGGCACGCAAAGAAGTTGGGTTAGGTTTAATGAAGACCGCGCGTTATCCGTGACGAACCGTGCGCTGCGCGCGCGCGCGCTTTCTCGCAGCCGGTTGTGCGAATGTGCGCGCGTTCATGCTCTCAGCGCACGGCGGTTTGAATGCGACTTAAACGAAGATTTATGCCGCGACGCGTAAATATAAACAACAATATGCAATCCCCGGCTGCATTGTCCTGCGTGGTAGACGCGCGAGAGAGTCGACCAATGCGAACTAATAAGCTCCGCCGGTTACCGTGTTCCTTTTCGTGTACACGCGCGCGCGCGCGTGTTTTGTACGTACGTGTGTGCTTCTCTTCGACGACGACCTCGGCTACCGCGCGTCTCCCGAGACTAATCGACCGGGGTGTAACGAGCGTCCGAATCCATCCTTTCGTCTCCGCGAGAAGGCCGTTTTTTGCGTTGCGCGCCGACGAGAAATTTGTCTGTCGCTGCTTTAATACAGCGGCTGTCATGCGCGCGTTGACGGCGATCCATTTCGAGATACTTTTGCTGAAGCGGATGAGAGAACGCGATTTCTCGCAACTTCAATTTATCCTTTTCCCGGCGCGCGCGATATTTCAAACGCACGTTTGTTGCGGGTAAAAAGATAAAAAAGAAATCGGATTGAAATATTTATATATAATTGCGTTCTAAATATTTTTTTTGTGTGTAAACTCTTTAATTGAGATAAGTAATAATTAAACTTAGAAAATTTCAAAAAATGGTGCGCGTGAGATGGACCGTTCGAACCGGGGGCAGAGCCGAAGGGTCCATCTCACGCACACACACACACGCACCATTTTGAAATTCTCATTACAAAAACCAGAGGACGCCTCAGTTTACAAAATTAAATTTAGATTCGATTTACATATAAGGAAAATCATATAAATCAAGTCTAAATTTAATTAATTAATTATTAACGCGTTACGTAAGACCACACAAATAAAAAAAAAAAAAAAAAACAATCTGAGAACAATAATGTGCTCCGGAAAAAAAAAAAAACGAACAATGAGTCGTAGCGTCGGAGTGTCACTGTGAATCGTGTGCAAAACTTATGACATTATTCTTCTCGACGCCGAACTAGCGTGACTCTCTGTTTTTTGCTCTGTTACACGACAACGAACACGCACGCAAGAAGATACGTTACGTTGTAATACTCACGCTCATATCTTCCATGCTGCAATTTCCGGCGTGCATTAATCCGTGATTGGTATAAATTTCCATGGGTGTCGTGCGAAAATCTGGACGAAGAAGAAAAACCCACACCTGTACTGTCCACTCGCAGAACGCGCTCGGTTTTTTCGCGCGATAAATTTATCTCGCGCTATAAATCACACGCGTTCGCCAAATTCAACTCTCAACGAACGACAACATCGATTTTTTCCTTCTTTCGCGATTATCACTCGAGAAATTGGCCGAGTATCAATCTCGTCGCAGACCGCGTCGGCTGCGCTTCGCTGCGACCCGTCGTTCCACGTCTCTGGAGCCTCATTGACTCGCCAATGAAACCCGCCGAGAGTCACACCAACGTCGATTCACTACGTCGATATATATATATGTATATATATATAGATATTATACGTATATGTATACGCGGCACAGAGAAAGGAAACACGCACACGCGACGCTCATCGCAGGATTGCCGGCAGGGTTGTTGCCACCGCGACACGACGACGGCCGCGGCAGCCAGCAGGGTGGTCCACGGAGCGTGACATCCTTCGATATCGGCCGTCGAAGTCTCCACGCGCCTTCGGTGCAACCCCAGGCGAATGACAGTCCTCACCGAGCGGAATCACGAGTGCGCTCGCTCTCGCGGGATCCAGAAACCCTCCGTCGATCACCACCCACCCACTCAGTCAGCGACTCCGGGACGACTATGCCGATCAAACCTATGTCCGGTTAAACCGCGTTGATTCCGTCGATCGACTACTTCGAAAAAGTCACTCGAAAAATTGTCTCCCGTAAGACGCGTTCGTAGATGACGACGGGCGTCTCCCGTTATCGCATGGAACCTACCGGTTGAGAAAAAAGATTCAGGGACCACACACAGCCGCCGAGAGGTGTTCGAGGATCGTCACGAACGAGGTCTTGGGGAACCGGCGATACGGGCGGCCGTGCCGAGAGAGAAAGAGAGGGAGAGCCAAGCGCTCGCCAGCTCGAGCTGAAACTCACTGAGTCGAGTCGGCCGTTCTGATGCCCGGTGCAGGTCTCTGCCAGCGATGCGACGTGGTGAGGGATCGCGGAACAGACGGAGAGGGAAGAAAACCGAGAAGGAGAGAGAGAGAGAGAGAGAGAAAGCGAACACGTGTAGAGCGAGACGAGGACGGAGGGGAGTTTGGGGCCCTACCATCCGTGTGCCCCTTCCAACGGACCCACCGGGTGCCGAAGGGCAGTTCGACCATTATCTCTCCTGGGCAGCTCTCCTTCGCGCGAGGGAACAAGGGGGACACGAGGGGGAGGGCTTGTGGAGGGCTTTATTATATTTACGAGGCGTTATCGAAGCAATCCAACAATATTGATTCCGCGCCGCGGAGCGATTGCCCATCTCAAAGAACGCCCAACCAACGGTGCTCCCTGAGCTCGATACGTTTATACGCTACCGGAGGGCTTACGGCGCCCTTATTCTTTCAACTCGCGCGTCCTCGACTTGCGCGCCCAGGACTTTCCTTTTGTTTGTTTCGCTCGTCTTTTGCTTTAATGCCTCCCCGCCGAATGCGATCGAATCGCTACACGTTTTTTCTCCTCGCGTGAATTACGCAGCGACCGTGAACCCGACAGTTTGCTGCCGTTTGCTTCTGCTCCGCCGTTGAAGAAATACCCATTAAGATGGGTGGAGTTAATTCATAAATTCGACTAGTGATCTCGATCGGGAGATAATTCAGGGGGATAGGCAAGGATAATACATTTAATTTCATTATGATTCCTGCTTGTGCGTGTAGTTGCCTTGCGTGCGAAATTGCAAAACAAAAAACTATTTAGTATTTTGTTAAGTTTTAAAAGCTGTTTATTTACCTGATATGCCTCGCTCTTTCGACGCAGGCAATAATATACGGAGAAAGAAACCAGATATAAATTTAATGAATTAATTTATAGAATTTTAAAATTTGATAAAAAAAAACAATACAGAGAATAAAATAAAAAGCGGCAAAATAAAGAAGAAAGATAAAAGAGTTTTAAAATTATCACGCGATTAACGTCACATTTTATTCCGCGCGACTGTGATTTACTTATTCACTCGGGCAATTTGTATTCCCGACAGTGAGTTTTCACACATTAGTCTCCTTCTAAGTTGCTTGTAAAATTGCATTTGGTTTGCGCGCCGCTCGCGCGCGATGACAGCGAGGACAAATGATATCATCAGTATTACCTCTGGAATAGCGTATCAAAGAAGATCGTAAGAAGCGCAGCGCTCGCTCGTCGGCACTAACCTTCGTTCAAAGAAGAAAACTGTCCTGATTACTTCTTACACGGCTATTTGCGTGGCTGCGGTTGGATTTTATTATGTTTACGGACTATGGAATTTTCTTTGTCGTGAATACGGCGTTGCCGCGGATACGTGGGCGGGTGTAACGCGTAACAGCTGATCGTCCTCGCTGATCGGAACGCAACCCCCCAACCACGACGCGGTGCAGGAAGCTGCGAACGTATAGCCTGTGGTGTCGTCCATTTGTACGAGTCTCGGAATTTTTCATCCGTATTCGATTTAAACGCAAAGATAACCGCGCGCGGTTTTTCTCCTCTCCGCGACGATGCCTTCTCGCTGGCAAAGTGTTCAAATCGTCGAACATACACATGCGCGCGCGCGCGCGCATTTACAGGGAAGCGAGTGAAATCGCTTGATAGAAAACTAAACGCAAGGATTTACATACGTCAGGCAACGGCGTAATCAGAGAACAGGCTCGGTCGAGAGATTATAAGACGTTGTGTCTCGGAGATACACGATTCGTAAATTTCGATTTCGCCGCGTGAGAACAAAAGTAATATACACGGTGTTGAAACTTCGCGTATTTATATCTACTACATATTAGCGACATTTTTTCAATGCGCTTTCTGTCTTCCTTTACCGAAACTTTCATCGAGTTCGAGGGAAATTTGCATTCTCCGATTCGAAAACAAATGTCTCTTCATATCTCTCGGAGTTATTTTATCCTCTTCTCGCGCGGCATTATCGCGCGCGAAAGCCGGCGCGGATCGATACTCTTTGTTTATCGAGGAAGAAAGTACAAGCGCATTAGTATAATGTATAAAGCCGTCGGATCGCACTCGAGTTGAACTCAAACATACAGTTATAAGCGTCCGCGATGCAGCGCTCTCGCATGAATGGAGTGTAATGCACCTAAAGTATGTCCTCGTCACAGTCCGAAGCAGCTCTCTCATTTCGCGCGCGCGCGCGCGATTTATGCGCGACGCGAAGAGGAAGAGGCGCTCAAAATCGTGCGCGCGTTTTCCACTTTACCGCCGCTGATAATCGCACAGTGTAAGTACAGATGGGAATGAGAGAGGGAGAACTCGTCCTTTCTAATCCCCGTGAAAGCGCATGATGATGCGGCCCCGCGGAAGAGGAACACAGGGGGGAGGAAGGCGACTTGATGAACTTGCCTCGTGAATCACCGCGCCTATAAAAATCGGCGCCCGATGCGTGAGAGAGATAACGCCTGGGAGGAGCGGTAACAACAGGTTTGCTTATATGTACGTACGTATGTACACGAGAGGGAGGAGGAGAGCGGGGGCTGTCTCGGACGAGGAGCGTGCGAGCAAGACGGTGGTGAATGCGCGGCGAAAGGTGCGACGGAGAAGCCGCGCGACGCCGACTGCAACACGTGCATCAAGCGGGAGAATATTGCGAAGGTTCACGGCGATTCACGTGTGTGCGTTACGTGCGTGCCTATGGTATGCGCGCGAAACGGTATATACGGTATTATATGTATATATGATGCTCGCCCATACGCACACACGCGCGCGCGTACACAGAACGCGACGCACACACACGCCTCGCATTGCTCGGTAATGTTTGAGTTCCGCAGGTTGCGCGAGGGTGGCGTTCCATCTACGTCGTGTTACGTTTATTGCCACGTACGATACGTATGTACGTACGATGCACTCGCCGCCGCATGCGGCATTACGCGGCACACGACAGGCGCGAAAAAATTAAGGCGGACGAGAGAACGAGGGAAAAAGAGTGAGAGAGCAAGATAAAAGGATGTGTTTGCGCGCGCGTACATCGTCGGCTGGTTGTTCAAAAATATAGGGGAGGAGGGGGGGGGTTACGATGATGACTCATGGAGAAAAACCGGTGTGCCCTTGCTTCGTATCTTTCCTGCGAATATTATCATCGTGCGCAGGTGCATTGATCCCGCGTACGATATGAAACTAATGCGCTATGATATTGTGTGAACAAGACCGGAAGAGTTTTTTTTTTTTTTTTTGTAATTATCACGATCAGAAAATGATCGGATCTAAATGAATTTAAGACGAGTCTAATCTAAAACGTGTGGTTGTAAACTGAGAACGAACGACGTGAACGACGTAGCTTATTTTTTATATTGGTCTTTATTTCAATTAAGCATCTTCTTCTAGCATTTTATATATAATATTTCACTTATTTTCGATTTAAGCTCGATTATCTTAATTCTCTTCATTTCTTCCGTGATTATACGCCTCGACGTTACAAATTCCTCTGCGTATACAAAACCGAACACGGAGCGTGATTACATGATTCATGCGCCTCGTGCGTTTTAAAACTCACCGAGCGCATAAACTAACGATCGAAAGTATCGGTTAGGGGGATAGTCGTTAATTACCATGCGAATCCCACACATGGCGTTTCATCGATTCAATTAGCCGAATGAATACCTAAGCGCGGGTATTTAAAACCGTGATGATAAAATGGCGATACTGACAAACCTCACTCTAATCGATTAATACAACCACGGAGATGATGAAATCTGGCTATTGTTCGATACATCTCTCCTTTCGCAATGAGAGATCTCGTTTCTATGTTTCTATTTTTTTTCTCTGTGTTCGGAGAAATGATGATCTCTCTCGTTGAATTTTAAACGAAGCAATGTGGACTCGATCTGTTACGAAAATGAGTAATGTGACATTTGCGTGAAGAGAATCGACAAGAGAGAGACGGATGATCTCATTTTTGTGATTTATAAATATTAGTATATTTTTTACTTATTTGTATATTATTTACATATTATTATATGTGTATATTATTTATATATTTATGTATTATTTATATTGTGCATCTGTTTTGCTTTATCTTTCATATATATATATATATATAACTTATCACTTATGTAATAAGGAAGTAAGTCAGATTTCTCATCAAGATATCGTTTGTGTAATACTCTATTTTCTCCGCGGAGCGCATGAATATATAGGAAGGATTATAACGCGCCGAGAATAAACGCATCCTTGCGCGAATAACTCGAAATTATCGGATCGCTTCCTAGGAAAGACGATCGAAACTTTTACAAGTAGACACTTCTCGTAATTTCAGCAGCCGTAATAAAAAGCAGAAAGGGAATGACCGATAGTTACAACCTCTGTATCTCTCTTTAACACCAGCTCTACGAAATAAGACGCCGCTAGCACCACCGGTATGACGTATTCGCGTTGCGAAACCGAAT